GTTTTTTTTAAATATTCCTACGACTTTTGATTACTGAGTTATCGCGGATTAAATAAAAGAATTATTTTGACTTTAATTGCTCATAACTCCATTAAAAATTGTCGTATCGTATAATTTAAAAAAGAGATTTTTAAAGCTGAAACTTTACTCTATCAAGATATATTTATATTGTTGGTAAGAAAGTAATTGCGGTTTTTACTGATAGATGTCTTTTAAAAAAACGCGATGACTTTTTACTTAACCTAATATATATAAGATGTAAAAATATGTCTCGTAATGAAAAATAGTTGATGGTAAAAAATAATAAATAAGTTCTTAATAATTATATATATAATTATATAATATATATTTATCGTAATTTGTAAGTTTTAGACAAGCGTAAGAATTGTCGTAAAGAAAAACGAAGGGTTGGATAAATAAATAAAAAGAATACATACAAGTTCGTAAAACAAATCTGTTTCCAAAAATTTTCTGGTTTAAAAATTTTTAAATTAAATTTTTTAATATTTACACTGCCTCTCTTTTGGATAAATAAAATATTATCTATTATTATTTATAAAGTGTTAAACTTTCATTGGCACTATCATTGTAGTAATCTTTTCAAACTTTCGACATCTTGGAAACTGTATGCTAATTAAATTAAAAGAAAATTTGAGGACACGGTTCTATTCAAAGAGTAATTCTTTGAAATTCTATCCCCTCTTTACTTGCTTATAATTCAAAAATTATTAAGATTTTGTTGGATTATTATAAACTTTCTGTTTGACTTCTACAATTGATAGAGACATTGTGCAATTCTTAAATTGTGACTTGTACAACAAAACTTTTGTCATGTGCAAACATAAAATACATAAAATTAAAAGGCTTGATCGCGCAATTTGCCCGTGATTTTGGCTTCTACAACAACCACAATCGGGATGAAACTACCCTCTTTTTCCCTCTTTCTCACTCTCTTCTTCTCTTGCCTTCGCGAGGGAAGGCGAGACATTCCACCTCGCCGTGATCGGTATGGAATTATCGAAAGTTCTCAATTTATTTATCTCCATCATGTGTATATGTGTATGTGTATATGTATATGATCGTTTATATGCACTTTGTGTACATCGTACGTGTATGTATGTGTGTATGTGTATATGTCTGTGCATGCTATTATCTGTATATAACACATTTACAATAATAACAATACGTTGTTCGTCAATGACGATCCACCTTAACTCGCGTATGTATATGTTTATATTTATAATATTTATATATATAATCCGAAAAAAAGTTTAATAGGGCTATCGATCACACACACACGCGCGCACATATACATCATACACACACAAAACACACACACACACACACACACACACACACACACACACACACACAGAACATACATGCAACTTCCTCTCTATTTCTTCACTCGATCATCGCATATCACAAAGTTTCCAAATGTATAATTTGGATTAAATGCTGGAGCAATAGCAATGACAATCATAGTAATCGGTATGATGATGCTTGGAAATGACGTTTTTGTTACAGTCATGGTTGCAACTCGCACGTATACGTGTTAATATAATGTTAGTGTATAATGTATAACCCGGCGAAATGCAAAATTTGGCAAAGCGCCCGACCGTGGACGTTGCACAGTCCTTTCAACTATTTTGTAAAAAAAGTATAAGAATTATGAGATTAATAGAACAAATTAACAATAATTAGCATATATATAGAAATGTTATATGTGGAAGAAGATAAACGTGTGGGAATAAATTTTTGTCGTTAATAATCTCAATCGCAAAATTTTTTTGTATCTATTGAATTTTAGCATTTTTCTATTCAATATATTTCCTCGAAATTGTTTTGTCATTTAAACCGAATAATAAAACAAGCGCTCTTGCACTTTTGTTTGAATCGACGTAATCGTATTTAAGTATAATTTAAAAAATTTGTGCAAAATTAATTGTAAGACAATTTATATAATAAAATAGAATATGCGCGCGTATATATACTATCCCCGAAAAATTTCCGCATATTGCCGTTTCTCATTATTTTAAGTATGTTTAAGTAAATAAGCATTTGATTATATTTTAAAAACAATGACTTGCTAATTACAACTGTATTTGTTCTGCAATATAATACAATCATCTTTGATTTCGCATATCTGTTTCTTTCACAATTAGTGCTGCGGTAAATTTAAAGCTTCACAAATTTCGTTATCATGTTCGGAAATTTTTTAAGGATAGTATATATACACGCGCGATAAGTGGAGTAAAATAGGGATTGAAACTTGTATTTTTCCGCTGCTATACGTAGATATGGAGAAAAAGCACTTCCATTTTCACATAATGATAACACCAGAATAACACGGTTTCAATTCCCAGAACAAAATCGTCAAATTATTTCGCGCAAATGTCTCGCATATCTGTCTCTTTCACACTGCCTCTCTTCTATTCTCTCACATTCTCTTACGCTGTCGTCGCAAATATATATATACAGACTTCGAAATTGATCAAGAATTCTAATATTCGTGCCTCCCTATCTCTCGTTCTCTCTCACGCCGTTATAAAAAATTGATTCGTTTCGCCTTAAATCGTTAACACTTTCCTTCCGCTTCCTCTGCCTCAGACCTCCCCTTCTCTCCTATCCTCGATGAGGAGTTAATCATCTGAATACCAACCGGAATACTCACAATAATTTCTCGCAAAATTGCGTGCATCTCATATTTTATTGTAGGTTAAAATTTTGTAATATTTGGCATTATCAAAATATAATGTAAAATTTATTTTATTTAAAATTGTATTAAAATCTTGAATATTAGAAAAAGAATTTTTTAATGTCGTATTTAGACATATGAATTTCGATGTTAAAATATTGCAAAGATTACGTTAATTATCAATATTATATTATTATTCTAATTAAATAATTAATACTGCTACATAATATTAAAATTAGTTTTAAAAAAATTAGAATGGCCAAAATAAAATATAA